TTACCATTAAATTTATGGGCTGATGCTACACACACTGCAGTTTATCTAAAAAATAGAACACCTTCAGATGTGATTGGAGGATGCACTCCATTCGAATTGTGGTTTAAAAGGAAACCCTCAGTGGCACATCTCCGTGTTTTTGGTAATGATGTGTATGTTCATATTCCAAAAGAGCAGCGTACAAAATGGGAAAAGAACTCGTTTAAAGGCATTATGGTCGGCTACAACGAAGGTAGTAAAGCTTACAGGGTGTACGAGCCTACAAATAGAAGGGTGATTATTCGTCGTGATGTCATATTTAATGAAACACCTGCTACAGTCAACGAGGTGTATGAAAAATGCGATATAAATAATCGCGTTGATGACGGTGATAATACAAAGACACAAGAGGTGCAACAAAATGTGAAATCACCAGAAGTCATAAAATCTCCAATATTAACAAGAAGTCCATATCAAACAAGAAGTGCAATAAAGGCACAAAATCCATCTCAGTCAATACCAGTAGCTGAATTATGTGTTGCATATGTTGAACCATTAACTCTTGAGGAGGCATTGTCTAGCAAAGACTGCGATAAATGGACCGACGCAATTAGCAAAGAAATTCAATCATTGGAAACCAATAAGACCTGGATTTTAGTGCCTCGCGCAAATGACATGCATGTAATTTCAAACCGTTGGATTTTTAAAAAGAAGTTTAAAACTAATGGTGACATTGAAAAATACAAAGCTCGTTTAGTGGTGAGAGGATGCTCACAGAAATATGGCGTCGATTACGATGAAGTTTTTGCACCGGTTGTTAGATATGAATCGGTAAGGACGGTCCTTGCAATTGCTGCGGCTCGTGATATGAACATCATACAGTTTGACGTGAAAACTGCATTTCTACATGGTAATTTAGATGAAGTTATATACATGGAGCAGCCAAATGGTTTTGCTAAAGACGATCGAGTTTGTTTACTGAAAAAGAGCTTGTATGGCTTAAAACAAGCTTCAAGGCAATGGAACAAACGAATTGTACATTTTCTCACCAATTTTGGTTTTAAGCAATCGTGGGCAGATCCATGCGTATTTACATATGAAGTGAATAACGATGTCTTATATTTATTACTTTACGTTGATGATGGGCTTATATGTGGTCATAATACTGAAATCATTAAAAGCTTACTGCATAATTTACATATCGAATTTGAAATAACATATCACGAAGCAGAGTTTTTCGTTGGATTACAAATTAAAATTGATAAAGAAAAACGCACATTAAAATTATTTCAAAAGGTGTACTCAGAAAAAGTTTTGGAACGTTTTAATCATTTGAATTGCCATCCTGTGTCAACTCCAGCTGAAGTCGGAATGAATTTTGTAAAAGACGACAAAACTAACAACAAATCAAACATACCGTATCGTGAAGCTGTTGGATCACTTATGTACTTAATGATTTGTACCAGACCAGACATTGCTTATATTGTTGGAGTTTTAAGCAGATATCTTGAAAAACCCTCAGAAACACATTGGCAAGGAGTGAAGAGGATTCTAAAATATTTGAAAGGTACAGTTGATTATGGCATTCATTTTAAAATGCATTCAGAGCACATACAGTTATCAATGTACTCTGATGCTGATTGGGGCGGCGACAAGGATACTAGGCGCAGTATTTCTGGTTGGGCTGCATTCTTAAATGGTGGAGCAATTGCTTGGAGCTCACGCAAACAAACAATTACTGCTACATCAACTACGGAAGCAGAATTTGTGGCACTTTGTGCAGCTACTAAGGCAGCGAATTGGCTTAGACAGCTTTTGTGTGATTGTGGGTATGAACAGCGTTCACCAACAATTGTTTTTTCAGACAATCAACGTGCGATTACACTGGTCAAAAATCCCCAGTCTTCGAAAAGAACGAAACATATTGACATTCAATATTTCTACACTTGTGACATGCAGGATCAAGGTAAAGTTGATGTGCAGTACAAGGAGACGAATGAACAGTTAGCAGATGTATTTACAAAACCTTTAAGTAAAGAAAAATTTTTGTATCTTATCAATAATTTTGTTAATATCTAAGTAAAAATTTAATTTCTAAAAGCGAGAGGGAGTGTTGAAAATATTCGCTTTTAACATTGTGGCAACACTTATTGTTGTACATTTCTTATTTTATCACTTTACTTTTGTTTTGCCTTTCTCTTGCGTTTTTAAATCTCGTGGAGTGAACACGTTTTTCCTTTTTGTTCTAAAACTTAAATTGGAGTAATAAAATACTTATATTAAATAAATGCACGTTTTTTATTTAATAAATCTAAGCTATAATAATCAAACTTCAACAGTTTCTGTATCAATTTGGATTGGCCCATAGATTTGGCGAATTATTTTTCTTTCAAAAATTTTTAAACTTCTTCGTCCGCCTTCGTCATATTCCATGTTTCTGAGCCATATGTAGCTACTGGTCTTATTATTGTCTTGTACATTCGTAGCTTACTTTCCTTGGATAGTAGTCTTGATTTTATTAAGTCTAAATATTTAATATTCAAATATCTATTTGCTGCTTGTATTCTATTTCTTATTGCGATTCTGCAATCATCATTGTTGCTAATCAGCGCACCGAGGTAGATAAAGTTGTTAAAAACCTCAAAATTGTATTCACCATTTGATATGCGTTGCATACTCATATTCTAGTTCCTTCTTGCTAGTTTGAGGTATTTGGTTATATTTTCATTTATTCTAAGACCAACTTTTTTAGTGTTTTCGTCTAGCATTTTAAAGACATTTGATAAATCTCTTTCGCTTTTTGCAATGATTGCAACATCATCTGCATACGCACAGATCTGGTACGACTTTGTTATAATATTGCCGAGATTTTGAATGGCGTAGTGTAATGTTAATATAAATAAGAATGCCGAAAGGCTGTCACCCTTTTTAACTTCGGAGCTTATTGAAAACGACTCTGAAAGGTGTCCATTGATAATAACCTTACATGATGACTTCGCAAGAATCATTGCGACCAATCGAGTAAGTTTTTGCGGGGCGCTCGGCCACGCCAGAGCGTTTATGATTTCTGATCTTTCGAGGCTATCGAAGGCCTGCCTGAAATATACAAAGAGTGCGTGTAGCGTAATGTTATGGGCATAGTACTTTTCCATCGATTGACGTATCAAAAATATTTGATCAATTGTTGACCTAAAACCGCATTGATACTCGCCTATAGTATTACCAATTGCTTCATGAAGCTTATCTTTCAGAATATTAAAGAAAATTTTATAGCCAACATCGAGCAGCGAGATTGGTCTGTAGTTGTAGCATTCAAATTTGTTGCCTTTCTTATAGACTAGGAAACTTAAACTGCTTCTGCATGCTTCTGGCATTTGTTCACTGTGCCATATTCCACATATCAAGGAGTGCATTTCGGTCTCTACCTAGTCACCTCCGTATTTATATAGCTCAGATGTAATATTATTCTCGCCTGGCACTTTTTTTAACTTTAACCTTTTTATCGAATTTTGCACGTTGCCTAGGCTCGGAAGATTGTAACTTGCCATCAGTTGTGGTATTGCAGTTATTACCAATATCGCTTCATTTATGCTGTTGATGTTTAATGAGTCGTTGAAATGCTCCTCCCATCTCTCTGTGGCTTGGTTTGTTTTAGTGCGTACTACCCTATTCTTATCCTTGCAGGCAAAAGGTCTTGGTTCATATTTGTTACCAATACAATTTGTTTGATTATAGAAAGCCCTTGTACTGTTTTTCTTTCTTTCTTATTCTCTTTTTTCTTCTCTTTCTTCTTCTCTTTCTTTCTTCTCTTTCTTTCTTCTCTTTCTTTCTTCTTCTCTTTCTTTTTTCGTATCTTTCTTTTTTCGTCTCTTTCTTTTTTCTTTCTCCAAAGCTTATACTTAAGTTTTCTTTTTTCACCGTAGCACAGAGTAGCTGCTCTTGTGCCTCTATTTATCATATTCATTCTCGCTGTATTTTTTGTTGTAATTGCTTCCCTGCATTCATTATCGAACCATTCTACATTTCGTGTAGCTCTCATCTCACTATTTCGTATCACGCTGCGATATCTTTCCAGATTGCTCACTGTTTTCAGTTTATCTACATTCCATTTGCAAACTTTTCTTATATTTTGTTGTTCTATCTTAGATACTCTCTGTCTTATTATAGATTTTACGAAATAGTGATCTGAATCGCAGTTAGCTCCTCTGCAAACTTTAACATCGAGGATTGACGAAAAATGCCTGCGATCGACAAGAATATGATCAATTTGATTCGAGCCTCTATTTCCCGGCACTCTTCACGTAGCCTTATGTATTCGTTTGTGTTCAAAAACGTACCCATTATTCTGAGATTTAGTTTTTGTGCAAGCTGAGCAAGTTATAACCCATTATGATACCACAATATCTAGACTAAAGCGAAAAAGCTTTATATCACCTTAACGTAATTTTGCTAAAAATGCCTTTCTTTTGCTATAAATTTTGATGTATATAACCCATTTTATTTTATTATAAACCTTAGATTTCGTTTTTGCACCTGCTAATTACATTATGTTTAGTTTTTAAGATTATTTCTAATCAGAAAGATACAATTAAAAATAAAATAATATAAAAAAAGATTGGGGGTAGAGATTAAAAATTTGGCATAGATGTTATTAGCCGCGCGAAAACGATCGAATGCATTAGCGGATCAAAGGCTTTACCAGAAACCAAGCAAATACTAGAGGTTAGGTACATATTCAATGCATAAGTTAGCTCATATATTTTAAGCAAAATGGTAAAACAATTTCTCGTAAAATATTTATATAAAATGTTTAAAAAACATTACAGTATTTCTAATGCACATAAACATCATATAATGAAAATTAAACAATTCAAACTTTTTTTCGTAAAAGCAGTTTTTCTTGTAATTTAAGTATAACATATATTTATTATATTTAATTGTTCTTAAACTATTTATTTTAAACAGCTTTTGTAATAAATTACTACATTGCTTATTTTTTCAATATCTTTCCAATTTTTTAGAGATATTTCAGTTGAGGATTATTTTCTTTTAGTGGAAAGTTTGGATACTGAAGTTGTTGCATTTGCACCAATGTTAGCTTCACACCACCCACGTGTAATTGCTGTAGGGGAAGGAAATGGTTATCTATTAAGAGTTACTCTTCTACTGTCTGAAGATTGCCGTACTAAGAAAAATGGTGTATCTTCTAAATCAATTAAAAGTTCAGCTACACCATTAATTTCTTCTCTTGCTTCAGTTGAAGTAGATTTCAGTAACATTGAAAGCGTTACAAAACATGAACCAATTCAAAATGATGGCGCAATTGGAAGAGACCGACAAAGTGTACGAAATAGCGATGACCTCACAGATATAATAGGTAAAATATAAATATTTATAAAGAAATTAAACGAAATGTAGTTACAATTTTTAAATTAAAAATACATAATAGTTGGTATTCCATTAGGAGATGGGACGCATTATCACAATCCTAATATGCAACCTAAACAGCATCGGGGAAACATATATAATTCTAAATTTTACAATGTACAAAAGAATCGAAATATAACCTCTATGGAAATTGGAATGTATGTTTTACTTACTGCATTTTGCTTTGCTATTGTTGTTTTCGTTATATCGTGTGTAGTATATGCATCAAAGTTTAGACCATCAGTTGTTGAATCCAATCTAGATACAGTACAAGGAAAAAAAATTACTGACAGCAGACTCTTAAAAGAATCAGCTTTCACTAAAGAACCAACAACCAATGCTCATGACTGGGTATGGCTTGGCAGGTCAACCATGGACAGATCGTCAATAATAACTAATTCTCATGCAACTCCAAATGTTAAAGGTATCATGTAATATTTAGTTTCTTTGTATGTTATTGTTTGAATATCTTTTTGATTATTTAGATTTGCGCATAAGAATAACTACTAATCCAATTAATAACTATTCTGACAACGGTAATACAAGAAATTTAACTTCTTTAAACAGTATAAAAGGGCAGCCTGAATTTGCAAAGATCACTCATTGTAAAGAAATTGGGTAAGAAGCTAAATAATACTCCTGTCAACCGATTATCGTTAACAATACATAATTTTCGTATTAGTGCAAAAACAAAAAGTATGGTTGATTACCGTCCGCCTGTACCTCCACATCGCAATATTGAAGTTTGTGCTTCAGTTAACAATACGACTCAAAGTACAAATATTAACAGTGTAGGCTTAACAAATAAGTTTATTATTGTTAAAGAATAAAATATTTTATTTATTTCATAGTGTGTAGGCGAACATTATGGGCAAAAACTTAATGCTGAGGAAGTATATAATCGCAGTGAAAGCAATTCATTTCTTAACATGACCTCTATCGAGCAGTGTGAAAGTAATTGCTGCAAAAAACCGACAAATTTATTTCAGTTTTCCCCACAAGCTATTACATCTGTGGACAATAACAATAAAAACTGCAATTACAAGGAATTACATAATGCAGAAAAACTTTTGGTAGATTCCAGTCAACTCGAAATAAACATTTTTCAGTTTGATTCTCTTACATCGAAAAATAAGTCAATTAAATGTAAGTACTTATAAAACTTTCTTCAAAACAATACCAACATATACAAATACACTATATTATAAAATATATTTATAAAAGAACACCCGGATGGATGTGTGAGTTCTCTCTACTTGATTCAGTTGTATTAACAGTAAATCTCAGCACTGAGCTATATACCGGTGATACATTGAAGTCATGAACTTGTAGCCATGGTTATAGGCCTATAATGGAGACGGAGCTTCAGTCTGCTAAGCTCATTTATAGAATAGAGATCTAGACACCAGATTAAAATTAAACAAATGTGAATGTATGCATATATATACACATAGCAGAAAAAGTCTACGGACACCCACAAAATTTTTCTTAAATTTCGCATAACTTATTTTATTTTTACGGAAATTAATTTTTGTTTTCTGTTTTATTTTAACCAAAGAAAGAACAATAAAGTTCTAATATAAAAAATTAACAGTTATTCTTTAAAAAAAATTTAACATAATTATATGCAAAAGCAACAATTTTTGAAGCGAAAAAAGTCTACGGACACTTCTTAATATTTAAATTAAATCAATTAAAATCCACAGAAATCTTGAATTTAATAGCCTGTGGGGTAACTTCTACGTTTAATAACCTCTTTTAGCAAACTTTGTATGGACTCAAAACTCTTGTGCGTTTATTTTTAGCCATTCTTCTTTGATGACGTGTCTTAATATCTGCTTGCTGGAAATCGTGTGCTGGCGAATCTTATTTTCTTAATGAACTCAGAGATGTTCTATGGGACTAAGGTCTAGTGATTGTGATAATGTTTGAAGTTGTCTGGGAGCATGTTGCAGCAGCCAAATCCGTACGATCACTGCTGTATGCTTGGGGTCGTTGTCCTGCTGAAACAATAATGTTGCCTCAAGCCCTAACGTTTTGTCATTTTCTTTCAAATTTTTTTTAGTGTATTTATTATTATTATTTATTGATTCAAAAATTCATATAGTTCTTACAGAAATTATGGAATTTTACTTAAAATCTGAATTGACAATAACATATTTCTTGTGTGTCAAATTGGCATACAAAAAAGTGGTGCATATTATTAACATTATTTTACATATGAATTCATCAATAATTAATCTTCTGTAACTTAAAACACTTTTCATAAATTTGTACAGGTTATAAATATTGCTACCATTTAACAAGACTTTAACTTCTTCTTCGGACAGAAGTGCTTTATCAAATTTTGTTTATCATAAGCTGTACACAGTTTTCCCCACACAAGTTTTCTACCTTTGATTCCAAATATACAGAATTTAATCTCATCAGAGAAAATAACTCATTTTCAGAATTTCATAGGTTTATTTACATGCTTTCTTGCAAAGCCTAATCATTTTATTCTATTATATCTGTATATGTATGGCTTCTTTCTTGCAACCCGGGTATAATACATGCTTTTCTTTAAAATTTTCTACACAGTAAAAGGACATATTTTGTTTTCAAGTATTTCGGCAATATGTACAACCAGTTTGGATGCTGTTAATCTTTACTTTCACCTGGTTGATTATGCAAAGTCTTTCTCTATCTGACACAATTGAAGGACAACCAGTGCGAGGTTTTGAAACGTAATTACCCGTCTCTTGCAAGTTATTTATAACTCTCCGCACGTATGAATATTGATGACTAATATCTTCAGCAATTTTTCGTTGGCTTACGTCATTTTTCCAAAATTTAACAGTTATTTATCGCTCACTAATACTAATTTCATGTCTTTTATGTTCCGTTGTAAAAATTTATTGTTTACATAAAAAAATATTTTTAAATGATTAATTCTTAGACTCTTTAGGAAAACATTTGATAAATATATTATTTAATGACACATTTATGTTTGCAAGCGAATTTAAATTAACGGTAAATGTAAATACTAAGAAGTATCCGTAGACTTTTTTCGCTTCAAAAATTGTTGCTTTTGCATTTAATTGTGTTAAATTTTTTTAAAGAATAACTATTAATTTTTTATATTAGAACTTTATTGTTTTTTCTTTGGTTAAAATAAAACAGAAAACAAAAATTAATTTCCGTAAAAATAAAATAAGTTATGCGAAATTTAAGAAAAATTTTGTGGGTGTCCGTAGACTTTTTCTGCTGTGTGTATATATACAGTAAAATATCCATAATAGTTCTTTTAACCGGATAGCGTCATTAGCCGGGCAATATCGTGGACATAGCTTTTTCATTAATTTTTTCATTCAAGTATCATTCCAATAACCGGACGCTCTAATAACAGGACACTACAGTTGGAACCATATGGATAAAAAAATCTCACATAAACGGATAAAATTTAAAAAAACACCGAACACGTAATAAAATTTAACGTTTTAATTTCGGAAATGAATAATTTTTTGCAATTATGGGTAAAAATATTTTATTTTTTACGTGACTGTGAATAAAATTTGTATTGTGGCGATGCAAGAAGGGGTTACAAATTTATTGAAAAGAGCGTGTCAAATTCAGTTTCAGAAATTTATAGTTTTTTAATTTATGGAGAAAGAACGTTTACAATTTCGATCCGAGAAACACTAAATAAAGTTTGCTTTCGGTTGTTTTAGCTTTGTTTTCGTGTTAGTTAACAAAGTGAGAAGTCCTTCGTTAAAGTATTTTTAGGCTTTTTCAATGTTAACAGAAAAAAGGAGAAAATTAAAAACAATTGAATATTGTTTGTCAAATATTGATAGTTAACTGGAAATTTATTAGTTAAGTTGGTCAAACTAAGCCAGCAGTGGTGTTTCATATATTATTTTTAAAATAAGCGCTTGTTCTTTTGTGATATATTTACAAAAGAAAAGGCCTATTGTTAAACAATTTTAAGGAAAATAATTCTTTCAATATTCATACTCTTTAGTACATATTAATGATTTGCTTTGATAAGGTTTAGTAATAATTATATTGAAAAATGAAATTGTAACAGATAATTAGTTGCTTTTACATAATTACTTCTTAAAATCATATCAGTTTTTAAATGCTTACCTTTTTGTCGCGGTGTTGTTTGTAATAAATGAAAAAATTTTTAACGACTGTGACATAATATTCATAAATCAATTACATTATTTTTGTGTATAAATTATTATAAGTGCCGGCAACTTTATAAAAAAATCAGATAGAGTCGAATATACGAAAAAGAGAATCAGAAATAAAGAGAGTACTTATTGCAGTTCCTTGCTTACTGCATTTCTTTCTACTTTCTTCATATCGTAAATCGTACTTATACACTTCAATTAAATTATTACAAAATATGTTTTCAAAACGAATACTTAATTTGCCTTTAAATAGAAAAGTTACATGTTTTCCCATATCGCATGGATATGGATTTTGGATTGGTACTCCAAATTTGTGAAACTTTCTCCAGTGACCAAATACCGTAAGGTCACACACAGTCATTCTTCTGAAGAAATAGAAGTACGAAACCTTGCAGATAATTTTTTCAAATCTTTTTTGACGAAATTCTTAAAAAAAAATTCTTAAAAAAATATTTATATGTGTCACGATCGATGTTTCGAGTTCATTGATTACAAAACCAAACGATCTTTACACGCCATGGTTTTGCAGCACATGCTCTCTTTTACGTTTCTGCAGTTGAAGCGTTCTGATAAAATTGAAGCTATATTTAATTTTCTTCCTATGTACTTCTATTCAAAATGCAATTTTTTTATATGTAGTTTTTTTAATTCTTAAAAATTCATATATTATACACATCATTATAACTCATTCTATATACATATCATACATATACATATTGAAGAATACATGGAGCATACATATAAGTATAAATTATTTAGTAGCTCTGAAACAAACAAAACAGGCCTCATCAAATTAATATGCTAGAATTTAATAATTAATTCTTGTAAACTAAATTATTTATTGAAAGTTGTTTATAATCAAAAAGTTGTTGATAATACACAATTTTGTTTTCAATACTATTGAAAATAAATGTGCATTTAAATTGTTTTTTGTTTTCATACTTGAAACAATTTTTATTGTTACAATTTTAACTATTAAATATAATAAATTTTAAATACTCCTAAAGATGTTTGAAAAACTAACGAAATGTAGAATATAATGATTAAATAAAATAATAAATAAAATTAACGTACAAGAATCACATAAAATAAGACAGATTAATTTACTTTTGTTGTATTGTTTTGCTAATTGCCTTACAAATTAATAATCGATTCATTATCATATATAACTTTAAAATAATTATAAATATATATTTTCATTTTTTAATTATACTTAGGTATTGAAAACATAGATGTGCAAAGTCGGATCAAACAACAGCAAATTACAGATAAAATTTATAAGGACGCTCTTACAAATGAATGCATGCTAGTTAATGGAAATTCTAATACAAAAAAGATTAAACGAGCTACTATTGTTGGAAATCCTATGTTTTCTACAATAAACGATAGTGATTATGAACAAAAACCATGTTTAGGACTTGACGATTTAGAAATGGATTATGAACAAATTATGCATTATTTCGAAAATTTAAAGGTATGAACATTATTGAAAAAGTCAATTTTAAAAACTATCAATATTTTTAAATAACTTGTATGTTTCATTGAACGAAACTATGTAATTGTTAACGATCTGAAGTTTTGTATAATTCTCTTTAAGGGAAAAAAGTTACAAAGATTACAAAAATTATTGTTAAAAAAGAAAGTTAAATATTAAAAAATTCTTTAAAAAAAATATTTTTCAATGAAATTATTATTTCAATTTACTAACAAAAACTGGTCGTTCAGAGCATTAGCATTTAGCGAAAATTGCAACTGAACGTCAAGGGCCAGCTAGTGTACTTTTCCGAGAGTATAAAGCCATGGTGTCAACTAGCACCTGCCAAAGATAACGCTATTCTTTTGGAAGATGAGGGCGTCTTCGAATCGTCAGGCAAGTGATACACATCAACAAAAAAATGAGGACCCTGGCCATCATGTTATTAATATATTCCATTCTATAAATTCTGGGCAGCGCTAAGATAAACGTGTAGTCTATGTTAGCGTGGATTCGGATAAAGAGGGTTGATTGATGCGATCGTTGATTCATCACGATTATACTATTGTATTTCTTTAATGTTTAGAAATTATTTTCGTATTTTACTTTAACAAAATGTGTGTTTAAGGCTATAAACATTTTCTGAATTTGTAATAACGTAATTATATAAAATTTTGAGCGTTTCAAAAACAATCAAGAAACACGCGAAATAAAGGCACACTTTCAGATTTTTCTTGGAACTTTAGAGTCATTGTATGCCGCATTTCGTATATTCCTACATTCTTCATCTAAATTGGAAATGAATAAGAAATGCAATGCCGGAGAAAATTTTAATGAGTTACGGTTCTATTTGGACACATTCGCATATATATGTGATGCATTTCTGCGGACAACATTTGAATTAGCCTAGCTTTAAAGTAATTTTACAGTCACGAATTCATAATGATGTACGCCTAAGAGACCTGCAACGTTGATACAATCTAGATAGCATTTTAACTTATGAAGCAATGCAAGATATTCAACATGTGACATTGCGTACAGCATGAAAAATGCTTACAGATTATTTTTACGACAACAAATGGGTCTTGTTCGCTTACTAAATAAATGTCATCGAACATTTGCTAAATATCAAGCGGGATGATTCGGTCACTTTTAAAAGGTATGCACAAGGATGGTATTCAAGTGTAGTGAAATAACTTGGGGGCGAAAATGGCAACGCAACGGCAAATTCTGTGTAGAAACTGCCAAGTAATATCTATAACACAGGAAGAAAGATCTTCCGCTTTCGTACATTTATGAACTTGAAGAACAATATCAAATTATGATAATTTCGCATACAGTACGGACTTTCCTTACGAGCATATTAAATTGTCGTTGCAAACATAAAGTTTTACGTGTTTTAAATAGACAAGCTTCAGTATGGAGTTTGTGGTTCAATCATTCATTTAATCATGGTTCAGTCCATTCAAAAACATGCAGCCGAACGAAAGAGACCAGCAGAAAGGTTTAAGCTGTATTTAAATTTAACCAAATTGAATGTGATATACGATACATTTTTATGCTAATTAAAATATTGATTTCAAAAGTTTTAAATAATTAAAATAACTTCTACATAAAAATCACTTGTTCTGCTGCATGGGCGATACGCAAATTTATGCGAACGGTCCAGTGCATAGCAAAATAAATTCAACGAAAACCAATCATCAACTTAAATAATTTCAAATAATGAGTGTTTAACGAAGTCCATTACCAACACGAAGCCAATAAGTACTAAAGACCGAAAACAACTCAAACTCATTTGAAAAAAATTACGACACTTGTTTACACCAAAAACTAGTTAGTGTATCTCACTCTTGGAGTAAACAATGCCGTACCCCACTGATAACCTCACCTCATATGTTCAAGCTGGAATTCTCCCCAACAGCGCATTTCTGCTCAACTTCGACATGTACTACAAATAGCGTCACAGTAAGCACTGCAAACTCGACACCTTGAGCTCTACATCAACGCAGATATCCGTTTCTTCTACTCATGCCTTACCTTTACATCCAACAACCTCGGTAAGTTCGATCGCTAATATTATTGGCTAGACAATCCAAGCCGTTCTGTAAAGATATTTTCAGTACTAGAAATAGAAGAAGATGAAGCTGAAGAAGTAATGCAAGACACCAAAAAGCAGTCCAAGCCTCCACCAATATTCGTAGATAGGGTTAACAACATAAATCCTCTCATAAATCTTTTGTCCTCACAAGTAGTAAATAATTTTGAGCTAAAAGTTTTAAACAACGAAATAGTAAAAATTAAAGCGAAGACCTGTCAGTCTTATGTTACGATAGTAAAACAGCTGGAATCGAAACAAACTGAATTTTATACCTACAAGCCTGAAGATGAATGCAATTTTAAAGCTATATTGAGAAACATGCATTCGTCTGTCAACACTGAGGATATTAAAACAGCTCTGGCGGAAATGGGCCATAAAGCTCTAAACGTGTTGAATATGAAACACAGAGAATCGAAAAAACCAGGTCCTCTCTTCATTGTTGAACTTGAGCCTCATCAAAATAACAAGGAGATCTACAGCATAAAGAATTTGATGCATAGTCGTGTCACGTTTGAGGCTCCTCGTCCTAAACGGAACATTCCACAGTGTAGTAACTGTCGAGACTATGGCCACACGAAAAGTTATTGTCGAAGACATCCGAGGTGCATCAAATGTGCAAAAAATCATTTTTCGTCTCAATGTCCAATTCAAGAAAGAAGTACTGAAGTCAAATGCGTCTTATGCGAAGAAAACCATCCTGCAAGTTATAAAGGTTGTTCGATGTGTAACCAGATACAAATAGCGAAATTTCCAACACTAAGACCCAAACCAATATCAACTACAAACAAAGAAACTGACGAAGGAAGAGACAAAACTTCTATCCCAAAGGCTCCCAAAAGAAGTTATGCTAGCGTGCTAGTGGAAAAATCACCTGAATCTATGATATTACTATTCTAAAATCTCCGGATACAATGAGCGAAGTTCTAATAGTAGTAAAGCAAATGTTAGAACAAATCAGTACGTTGATGAATGTTCTTGTCACGCTGACAATTCTCTGGAATGCGAATGGGCTGTCAAAACACTGTTTAGAGCTACAAGAATTTTTCAAAGTTCAAAAAGTAGCATCATGCTAATATCTGAAACACGTTTTACTTCAAAACATTATTTTAAAGTACCAAGCTATGACTTTACCACACTATGAATCCCGATAGAACAGCTCATGGCGGAAGTGGCATTTTAGTTAAAACAAGCATATTACACTTTGAATTGCAACAATACCGCACTGAAGAGATTCAAGCAACCAGCATTTCAACAAAAGGCTGGTGTGGCCCAATCACAATCACAAAATCTTTTAACTATCTCGTCTGGAGAACCAACTTATTGGCTCACGGATACCAAAAAAACACCAGACTTGTTAGACTTCTGTGTTACTAAAGGAGTGCAACAAAATGACACATCCTGTAAATCTAGCTTTGATCTTTCATCAGATCACTCTCCAGTTTTATTACGAATAAAATCGAATATAACACTTCGTTCAATAATGTGTGTGACTGACACATAAATGGCAGCACTAATACTAAATAACTATTTTTTTTTTCGAAAGTGGCAACCTTTTTAGGCTTAGTGTCAAAATATGTTAATTCGACCATTTGTTTACAAGTTATAGTGCTTCCAGTGACGCTACTTTTGAGTTTTCAAAAAAAAAAAATGAATTCAAAGCAATTCCGTGTGCTGATTTATCATTGTTTTTTAATGAAAAAAATACTGTTTAATGCCAGGAATGGCTTGAAAAACATTATTCGGACTCTGCTCCATCAAAAAGAAGCATTTGTTATTGGTATGCCGAATTCAAATGTGGTCGTACAGACACCGATGACATTCCATCTACTGGACGGTCAAATGACGCTGTTATTCCGGAAAACGTTGAAAAAACACTGAAAATCATTATGTCCGACAGTAAAGTGAAAGTGAGGGAGATTGCTGACATTCTACAGATATCAGCAGGCAGTGTACACACCATAATACACGAACATTTGGGTATGAAAAAGGTGTTTTCCAAATGGGTGCCGCGTTTGCTCACACCGGAGCAAAAACAACAACGAATCGATGATTCAAAGAGCTGTTTGGACATGTTTACGCGCAATAACTCGGAGTTTTTGCGTCGGTACATCACGATGGATGAAACATGGATCCACCATTTCACTCCAGAGTCAAATCGGCAGTCTGCTGAGTGGCATGCAGCCAGTGAAAGCCGCCCAAAGCGACCAAAGACGCAGCAGTTGGCTGGCAAGGTTTATGGCGTCTGTATTTTGGGATGCGCATGGAATAATATTCATCGACTATCTCCAGAAGGGGAAGACCATCAACAGCGACTATTATATAGCGTTATTGAAGCGTTTGAAAGACGAAATCGCAAAGAAATGGCCTCATATGGCGAAGAAAACAGTTTTGTTCCACCAAGATAATGCACCGTGTCACAAGTCGATGAAAACGATGGCAAAATTGAACGAATTGAGCTACGAATTGCTGTCGCACCCACAGTATTCTCCAGATCTGGCCCCCAACGACTACTGTCTCTTCGCAGACCTTAAAAAGATGCTCCGTGGTAAGAGATTTGGCTCAAATGATGAAGTAATCGCCGAAACTAACGCCTATTTTGAAGGCAAAGAAAAATCGTTTTACAAAGGTGGTATCGAAAGATTGCAAAAGCGTTGGAATGATTGTATCTCCCTAAAAGGGGACTATGTTGTTGAATAAAAACGAATTTTGGCAAAAAAATGTGTTTTAGTTAGTTAGTCACACACATTATTGAACGAAGTGTTACAACTTAAAGCTCAAAAATGCTACCTACATAACAAATTAACCAACTGGGATGCCTTTAGGCATACACTTAAGTCATTACTTGATGTAAAAATGGCGCTTAAAACAGACGAAGAAATTGCGCTTGCAACCGAACATC